TATTTACCATCTCTTGCAAATTTTGCAGGAGTTCCCAAGATTTGATGTGACAGATGTTCTGCAGATTGTAGAAAGTAGCCTATAAAGATGTCCAGAGGGTCGTAGAGACCAGCTCAACCAGATGCGAGCGCCAGCGGCAATTTCTGGTTTTTGCGCCCACGCCAAACATACCACGAGCGCCACCACGTTTCTTTGCATGTTCTGCGCCAGCAATGGCAACCCTTGACTTTCTTCTCCGGTTTTTGAGTCTCATAAAAATTCAAGAGCAATTTCGATGCCCAGGTTTTTGGGCTACCTCTTTTTCACAGTTCATATGACGCTTATCATTTTCTTCTCTGATAGGTCACTCGCTTCGTTGGAAGAGTTCAGCAAATGATTAATAGATATTTTAGACTGAAATTTTGCAATTTTTACGTATTCACGTATTAATCAAATAGCATGGGAAGAGTTGGTGCAGCGGAGGGAGGCTCCGCTTTCATGGGGCACTGTCAAGGAAATAAGTTTGAGATCGGCTCCCACGTGGACCGACCACATCCCACCTCCAGCCAGAGCGAATTATTTGTGGTAAACGATCAGGAAAGGATTGATCAACCTGAAAAGCTTCATCATTTTTGGGCGCGTTCGGCTTGGGAGGGGAATTTTGCACGTTAGTTACTTCAAATCGACGTGTTCTTTGCTTCATAAGAGTTGACAGGTAATCTTGACAAGAGTTGACAAGTTCTACAGTATTTGACTGGTATCACTTTATGTCTTGACAAGACTTCGCAGGTCTCCACTTCATGCCTCTACATGTCTGTGGGACGTCCAAGATCCCCAGGTCCAACTGGTCCACTTTTGTCCCATTTTTTGATTTTTTTCGGCACCCCAACTTCATTTACTCCAATCCCGATTTTTGGCAGAAAATTCTCCTTCACACCATCATCAGTCCTTTTTGGTAATGCGCACACAAAATCGTCAAGGTGTAAATAGTCAATTAAATTAGTTGATAGGCAGGTGAACGAACGTCTAGATTCTTGCCCCGCCAATCGGAATTAAGGTATTACACATAAATAATTGAATCAGTAATAAAAGAGTGGAACCACTTTTTCTATCTGATCACAGTACGATTAGAGAATTTTGGGTGAGTTTTTATACTGTTGCTCGGCAATCCAACTTGCCCATCATCAATTGAAAGTATTCCAGTTGATTTTATTACTGTTGTAATTGAGTTCTAGGAAAAAACCGTAGGATGTATGAGAAACGGTACTGTGGTACCCTTGAACGCCCTTAAGGATAAAAGGATAAAGTCTTCGCCGTTGATCAATCCCTTTGTGGGATGCGGCACGCATTCTACTTCCATTCAGAATCGTAGTGGCTTATTGAATGCGATGTGGCCTATACAATGACTTGCGGTGGCCAGCCGATGTACAAGTCAGTGTTTTATCCTCCCAGACGAATCTGGTACCAATTTACCGTCCCCGGAGGGTAGAAGGCTTGGTTGGCCTGGGCAGTCGACCCGGGATTCGAACCCGGGACCGCGCGAGTGGTAAGCGCGCCACTTGTCACTACACCACCTCAGCCTCCCCTCGTTAGGATACAGGTGTATTACAGCGAATGAGGTGATATAAGCTTTGCCGAATTTCCATTTTGCCATCATCGAACTCTGCCCTGTGTACATGTAGGTAAAAGAGTGAAGAGCGCAGTTCGGCTTGGTGGGGGCATCAAATGGTTCAGCGGAGCCTGTACAGGTCGCCTTGTGAACATCTGAAAAATGTGACCAAAACGACCCACTTGTATCACTCCGCATCTTTACAAGAGTTAGTAGATTCCACTGAAATGAGACCTGCTATTCAACAAACACTAACGAAGGGAGCTAGCAAAAGTGCGAAATGCCTCTCTCAAGCCGAACAGCCGAATAAGGCTTCCGGAACCGCAGCCGAATAAGGCTTTCGGAACCGATCAGTATTTAGTATGCGCGCCGCATCCTACTTTCTTTGGGGATCGTAGCGGCATTGGAACTCTGCCCACTTCTTACCTTTTACTACATTACTGTTCAGTGATCAGGTAAAACTTTGACTGAATTCCTCAGCCTACCTACTGGACGTGTGCAGGAGCGTGGAACGGGGCCACTTTGAGTGTGAAGTACTAATATCTCATCCACTGGGGCAGCGTTCGGACATGACGCGCGTCGACGCGCTGCAGCGCGCTACAACAGCAACAGCGCTCCGCCTTGACAGCCAGCACCGATCGATATCCTGCTGCATAAATAGACAACATGTACCCTCAAGTTCCCCATGCTCTCTCTCAATGCACAAGTGACCCCAACAATTACCGTCTGTACGCAAATGCGATGCTGGTTTCGCGCTTTGCGACCACGGCACACCATCACGCTGTGCAA